CAGTGGACGGGGTGGGTGATGCTCATGGTCCCGTGGGCTTAGCACTTTGCTGTTAAATAGCAGTGCATAGAAGGTTGCTTAAATAAAGCTAGTTAGTGCCAGCATTCTTTTCTTTACAATCTTTTTTTTGGCCATTTATAAGGCATTTAAGAAATGTTATGAAATATTACTAGTCAGAAAACTACCTGTACAGTATCAGGGCAGGAGAAAGGCATTTGTTTTGTTTATTGATCTTCTTGTTTTGTTTTTATTGAGGTCAAATTGTTATACATTATAGTAATTTAAGGTGTATAACATAATGATTGGGTATTTGTATCTATTGCAAAATGATGCAAAATGATCTACAAAATGTCTAGCTCACATCTGTCACCACACAGTTTCAAAAAAAAAATAGTTTTCTTGTGATGAGTACTTTTAAGATTTACCCTCTTAGCAACTTTAAAATATGCAATGCAGTGTTATTAGCTATAGTGGTCAGACTGTGCATGGTATTTGTTTTTGTTTGGTTTTTTTAAAAATAGTTAATATTGTTTAAACCTCGGAGACCTGCTCCTGATGAATGGGCTAATGCTGAGTGACCATGAGTAAGTCATTACAGCAAGTCTGGCATGCTGTGTACTTGGCAGTTCTTTCATAGCCATTAATCTGGGCAGCTTGAAATAGAGTCAAGTTGTGGTTCTTAACAGGCATATGGCTTTTAATTGTGGCTTCATTAATCCAGACTCATCTTTTAAGAATTACCAAGAGCCCCAATATTTCAGAGAAAGCACCTTGAAGAGGGATGTGCGCTGTAGAGAGAAGGGGTCCCCCATCCCACCACCCACCAGTGGCCCCCAGGCTGCCTGACACTCAGGCTGAGGCTTGGGGCTTATGCTCACTGACAGGTGGAACATTCTGGAGACTCAGCGGTGCCTCTCTTGGAAGCCTGGCCACCCAGGGCTGTTGGATACCCGTACCAGCCAGGTTCTGGTCCCTTGTGAGTGTAGAAAGAGGAAAGAAAGGTGTGGTCAGGAGGACACTTCCAGAAACTTTCCCTGTCCCCAGGGGAAGCTCCTCTGCAGGGCTAGCATAGGCGGTGAGTCCATGTTTCCCTGGTCTGGCTATGGCGACTGAAGGTGCCATGGCCTGCTTTGCTCCTGTTCTCAGCTCTGGCTTGGTCCTCAGTGTGCTCTGTTCTCTGAAGTCACTGATATGCCAACTCCGTGGAACTGAAACTAGGAAGGTGCTGTTTGACCCTGTTGATCAGAAGGACAGAGAGAGACACAGAAACAGAGAGAGGGAGAGGGAGAGATGAAGGAGACAGAGGGAAAGACAGAGCAACATTGTGGACCTCCAGATCAGTGTCCAATCCAGCATCAGACAGGAGGGTGAGTGATGGCCTCGGGGGTTAGGAAGGCGGGCTGGGCTCACCTGGAGCCACAATGTGACAGCCACTGTCACCCTGGCTCTCACTTATCTCTGCATCTGTTTCCCCTTGTGCAAGATTCAGAACTGCTTGCTCCAAAGAAACAATTAAAAAGCACGCATGGCTGTAAGTAAGAACTGCACAGGTGACAACTATTTACTGATGTTGCTGTATTTTCTGCGGTCGGTAAGTTGAACTCTGGCTATAGTGGTTTGGATTCCCCGTGCCAAGCAGAAAAATCGCAGGATGTTTCTGTGAAGTCATTGTTCTCTCTGGCATCTCCCTTTACAGCCTACTGATCTTGGTTTTCCTTTAGACAAGGGTGTTTGAAAACAGGCTATTATTCACTTTTGTAATGAACTCCTCTTCTGATTGTAAACCACTTTATAGCCAAGACCATATCAAGCCTGATTTCCATCTTCCACTGAACACTGCCTCCACGTGGGAGAAGAGGGCTAACTAAGCACTGTCTGGAAATATGTACAGAGCCTGGGTTGCACACAAATCGCTGGGGATGGGGTGGTGTTTCAAGGTTCTTCTAACCCCAAGGGCTGTCTCTTATAATCTCAGTCTCGAAGGGGGCGTATTTCCTTTCCCTCACATTTCCCCATGGGTGGATTATTCCTTTGGTGTTTGCCTAAAAGCAGTCACTTTTACAAAAAAGTTACTACTTTTTTATCCCAAGAGATGCAAATTTGGAGTTTGGGGAAGTTCAAGGGATCTTCTCAAGGCACCCCATGTGATGTCAGGCAAGACAGGCTGCAGAATATGCAGGGCCCAGCACAGACTGCAAACGTGGGCCCTGTTCCTAGGTTAGTAAGAATGTTAAACCAGCACTGAAAACCAGCCATTGGTCCACATGGGGAGGAGAGAGGGGTGCTCTGGGCAGGCCTCCAGCCACCGCCCTGGCTGCATGCTGATGTCATTGACTGGTTGAACATGCATATGAAAAATCTAAGGGAAGCTGATTACCTAACAGAGTTCCACTGGTGGGAGGGGGAGGTGAGTACTAGACATTTAATGAAATGGAAACAGGCCTGTTGACATAAATCCGGAGTCCTCTGGCTCGGTGTGGTCAGCTCCATGACACAGCCA